ACTAGTATTGATGGCCTCAGTATTTAGGATTTACTGACCGTCATGGCGACAGTTTGAGAGGTCAAAGAAATCGGAGATACTGACAACATTCATTTGAGTCAGTACTATTTGAGCATGATTCTGGGGCGAAGGCGCTTAGGTTTCACGGCATTCCACAGGCACATTCATTTTGTTTTTTTGATTTTGGGGTGTACTCAAAACTGACACTCTTTGACTATCTTTGACTACCTGTTGTAGTAACGCAAAGCCTTGGGGTAGCCCCATCTCCATGGAGCGCCCAGGGATTTCTTCGTTGGGGATGAAAAGCCCGGGGGCTCGATTTACGATTTCAGACGACCTGCGTTTCGATGGATTGATATGGCAGTGGAAACTGAAGCCTGAAGCTGTTTGTATTGTGGTGATAAAGCACTTTGGCACACACCCCAGCAATCCCCAGCACAAAGCGAATTTGGGTGGAGGTCTGCTCCGGTAAATTCATGATGTATCTCAGCTTGAAATTGCCGATGATTTCGGCCAGCGAAGGTATTGGAATATGTTCGACATGGCTTTGGTGGCTGAAGCCATCGTCGGCCTGTTCTTTGAAGGTGGGAATGCCGGGGCGAATGGTTTCCAGTGGGTTCCACTAGTCCAGCATAGTGGACTCATAGTGGATTTCGATTTCATCATGCCACCCGCCACCCTGTGATTTTCGTTGATCTGATGCCAGCGGAGGTTCAAAGCTCTCCTTCCTGCGGATTTTTCGCGTCTTTCGTTTGGCCTGGCTGCTGAGTATGGGCGGGTCAAACTTGTTCTTCGCAGTTGGATATGGAGGGCTATTTTTTGGGTGATGTTATTTTCCGTTTAGTTTTTTGGTTTGGATTTCTATTTCCCTGCTTCTCTGTTTTGCTGCTTCTCTGCTTTGCTGCTTCTCTGCGTTTCTGCTTCGTTGCTTCTCTGCTTTTCTGCTTTTTCCTGCTTGCTGCCTCTTAGGCCTAAGCAAACCCTAAGAAACATCATATGTATATAAATATATATATATATAGAGAGAGATAGATAAACTCTAAACCAACCATAAATAACCCCCAAACCAACCCTGAATAAACCTCAAACAACCCTAAATAGATCCTAAACTAACCCTAAATAGATCTTAAACCACGCCTAAATAAATCCTAAACCAACCCTTAAATAGATCCTAAACCAACCCTAAATAGATCTTAAACCAAGCCTAAATAAATCCTAAACCAACCCTAAATAGATCCAAAACCAACCCTAAATAGATCCTAAACTAAGCCTAAGTAGGTCTTAAACCAAGCCTAAATAAAACCTTACCCAACCTCTAAAAAGAGACCTAAAACCAACCCTCAAAGAAAACAAAGCCACCCCTAAATAAACCGAACCAATCCTAAATGTATCCTAGTTGCAAAAAGTCCATGCAACATGAACAGTTCGATGTTGCAAATACCATGGAAAATGAGAGGTTCGAACTCCAAAATGCTAAAAATACCATTGAAATGGCAGCTTCCAGCTCCAAAATGCTGCAAATAGAAAGAAACACGGACAGAACAAACGGACAGAACAGGAAATCCATAAAAGCAAACAATTCTGGACCCGGTATATATTAACATATATTAACCATTATTAACCTATTGTTTAGCCATTTTGACCCACATTGATCCATACTACCCAGGTCCGAGTCGTCAAAGTGGTACGATCGGTCAAAGCGTTGGCGAGACTGTCCGCAGCCAAGTTGCGGGGTTTGATTTGCAAGGAAAAGGTGGGTGGATGGTGGGTGAATGCTTGGTTGATTGATGTTGGTTTAATTCATGATTCCATATTTATTTATAGATTATGGTCAATGATTTTGTTCATGGTTTTGTGGAAATTTATAGACTAATTGTTATGATTTTGATGGGTTGTATCGCCCCCATCAAAGGGTAACGAATTTATGACAGACCCTGGTTTGGTAGGTTTATGGTCTACGGTAGTTGTTCCATGTTTGTACCTCAAAATCCAGAATTTGCCATGTTCAACAAGGCTTTAAAAGATAGCGTTCAGTTGCCTAAAACAAGTGGCTGAATTCTATAGTTTATGGTGGATATAACATGATACAACTCAACTATAGTTAATGGATGTTAATTGGGTTTATAAACCAACAAACATAACTGGGATGGCCCATCCTGTGTTTCACGAAAAATATTTTCCGAGATGCCATGGGATTCAAAAACGGCAATGCCGGCAATGACTGTTGGAAGTTGGGCTCCGTGACGCTAAGTGGACTGAGGAAATCCCAATAATCCCAGTGGCCAAATGGAATATGTTTATATAATTTTAGCATACTAGATGCATATTAGCAGCTAGCATATATTTGCTGGAAACCTGTGTATGAATGGATCGACTCCAGACAAGCAATGCTTGTGAGGCGGACGATGATTTTTGCCATCCTCTCTTCATTTGTTCCTGGGAAGCAACCAATGACGGTGTCAGGCAGATAAGCCGACAAGGCAGCCTAAGTTGATGCCTAGGGCGTTGATTGCAGGTGAGGGTTCATGATTCTAGCAGCTCCTGCTACAGTAATACTTACTCTAATACTATCATCATTTCCATGAGATCAACCATTTACCAACCATTTAAAATACCAACCATTTACCAACCAGCTACCAACCAGTTACTAACCATTTACCAATCATTTACCATTTACCATTTACCATTTACCAATGGTGGAGATGACCATTTACCAACCATTGGTGTAAGAGGTAACGTGTCGAAACTTTTCGAGGTAGATCTGCTTTGGGCCTTTCTGGTGGAGCACCCAGTGTTTCAGGGCGGTCCTGCCGTTTTCTGTTGGCAGTTGATGCTGCTTTTCGACAGTGGTGGAAGTATGAACTATTTCTATGGTTTTATAGTTTTATATTTATAATATATTTATATTATAATATGATATATATGGTGCGTATATATATATATATACACATGTATATGATCAATAATATATGTATATCATATCGAGTATAATATATATATATAATTATATATATATAATGTGATTAATATGTGTATATGCAGATATATGATATATGTGTGTATCTCGATGCAACATCATCTTCTGGTTCCTTGTGCAATCTCCCAGTTCCCATGGTCTGGAGTGAATAAGTGAATAATAGCCTTCCAATGCCTGAGTGTCAGACTTGAACAGCCAAGGTGATCGTACTTATCATCTTTGTTTTCGCCATCGTCTTTGACAATGCCGTGGTGGGACCAAACGAAAACCTTGGAGCCTTTTCTGTGGAGCCTGTGAAAATCTGAACGGCCAGAGATGGGATCAAACTGGTATTAATCTTGATGGTTGAGATGGAGTGTGAAGAGAAAAACATGTAACAGATGGTTGATGTTCCCGAACATCTAGTGAGCTAAAATCTATATCCACAAAATCCTGTCTTGATTACCGACATGCAGGGAACAGAGCTATGGGTCAAGGCTATTGGACCCTATGACTTGCTGGTATGGGATGGCATCCAATAGCAAAACTTGGATTTTGCCATCAGCAAACTGGGATTCAAGTATCAAATTGGGAGTGCACCATCAAACACTGCAATCTAACCATCCAAAATTGGGAGTTGAACATGTTTGAGCCAGCAAAAAATTGGAGTCATCCATGCAAATGCAGGTTTCACCGTCAAAATCGCGATTAAACTATCATAAAAGGAGATGTCATTATCAAAATGTGGGAGGAGTTAGCCACTCTGACCACTCTGGTAAACTAAACTAACAGTTTGCCATGGTTTACGGTAAATCATCGATCGGCGAAACTGGAGGGACACCATCCGTTGAAGGCAGACTACTTCGATGTCCTAGACCGGAACAACCCAGTTCAGGTGGGAAAACGGGGTGGACCACCCCCTCTTGAGGGATGAAAACACGACTGACAAACCTTTTCCCATGTCAACCGGTGAAAGATGGGATTCCGTTTTTTTTCAATGTGAAATTGACCAGCAAAATTTTGGGACTTCAAATGATTGACTGTTTGAAGCACTAAATGGAAAGATAGAAGCCACCCTTGATCATGTTGGATCCACTGGATGTTGCCGAGTCGGTGATGACTTGAAAATGAGGGTAGATCTTGGTGAAGGCATGTCGCCTTGGTGGTAGGCCATGCGGCATGGTTTTTCTCAACATTGGGGGTCTCATTGCGAAATCAAAGGTAATGTATGGTCATGTACATAACTGATGATAAGTGCCAGTTATTATGCAATATTCACCAACCACAATCAGCCATAATCATTATCATATGATATGTTGATCATTGCAAAATCACAGGGAATGTACAATAACTGCCAGCTATTTTGATGTTCACCAGGTTTTTTTTTCCCTAGCCATATTAGTGCAGAAATTGCCAGTTGCAAGACGCCAAAGACATGGAGTTTTTGCGCGGGAACTCAGGATCCAGATGGATCGCCTCTGGTAATGGCTGACATAGCTATTGAAAATGGCAATTTATAAATGATGTTCCCATTAAAAGCATGGTGATTTTCCCATGTACCCTCTGGTAAACATAGAAAAAGCTATTGAAGCCATGGCCCAGTCGAAATAGTGGATTTACCCATTAATAGCATGGTGATTTTCCATAGTTACGTAACAGTTTACCAGAGGGTAGGTGATTCGGAATTTTGGGAAACCGTTTTTTTTTGGAAATCGGCACCCCAATTTTGGGATATGTTGGGAAACACTAAAAAAATGTCCACATATTGTATTCTGAGTAATCTTCCAGACTTCTTACGGAAGACATTCTTCGCCAGGATGGTCTGGGGGACAGCCATCATCCACATGATATGACCTCAAACCACCGACATTTTTTATCCCAGCCATGTTGGCTGGTGGTTTTAAAAGGTTTCCACTATATGACTGTCCATGAGATATCTTGGACTATCATGACCCCAAATAGACTACAAGTGACTTATGATTTTCAGATGAGTCGTTTCACCATGCACCAGAGTGGCTCGAGGTTCGGAAATCTCATAGAAACCATGATTTCTCTATGGTCTGCCGTGAGCGGTGGAAACGACTGGATGAACTACGGCGAGCTCTTGAGGCTGGTACACCTCCAGTGGCGCGGATGGTTTCACAATATTTCATGATGTTCGCATTATTCATAAATAGTTATAAAATGTTATAAACTTATATATATATACATGGTAAACTTGTTCTTGCCAAAATGGAACGTTTGGAGTGATGTGACGCAGTGATCAGCGGCCAGGAAAGTGCCAACGGGTGACCTTTATTTCGCGATCTTTAACTTCTATGTCGCGTCTGCACCCTGGGACGATTCTGTCAAGGGACGTTTCCACTGGTTGAAACTCATCCCATCCTCCCATTTGAGATATGAAAATATCTCTGGTTGGTGGTGACTGGAACCATGGAATTTGATGACTTTCCATATATTGGGAATGTCATCATCACTGACGAAGTCGTATTTTTCAAGACGGTTAAAACCACCAACCAGATCTGAAATGATATGAGATAGTATTAGATACCTCCAATTTTCAAGCTTAGTCACTTAGTCTTCTATTGGATCTTATTTAATTATATTGCTACAAATTTCTGTAAAACCATCAAACCAATCAATCAAACCATCCTCAAGTCATTAGGTGGAGGTCATGCCAAGAGCTTAGGTTCTGCGTCGTTGGCATGTTCAATGTGGTCACTGGTGTCCCCTGGCCTAAATTCATGGGGCTCCTGGCTGTATGGAGGTTTCCATACGTGGGGTCCCAAAAATGGATGGTGTAGAATGGACAATCCTACTAGAATGGATGATTTAGGGGTACCCGAATTTTAGGAAATCTCCATATAGAGGTCACCTATAAGATAGTAATCATATAACGTTGTTGGAATGATAAAGCAGTGGGGACAGAGGTCACCTATTTCCAGACAAACCCAACTGGTATTGACAAATCCATACAAATCCCACAGCAAAGTTATTTAAAGAATGCATAGGGACTTTTTAGAGGAAGATACCATTGATTTCCCCACGGAAAATCCTTGGCGTTCCGCTGGAAAAGGAACGCTCCGCTGGTCACGTCTCGGAGTCCGTATGGCTTGGCTGCAGGTCTTCGTTGATTCCGCCGTTTGTGTCCGAACTGGCGACGAAGTGGTGCAAGGCGCGGTTTTTTTTTTTATGTTTTGCATGTTTGGCCTGGAGGAGTCAACATTGGGCTGTGCCGCAAAGAGGAATGGCTCGTGGTTTTGAAGATCTTCCAAATTCTTCAATCATGTCTAATAATGTCTTTCTTTATGTCTAAATAAATCTAAATAATGTTTAGTGATGTCTAATAATGTCTAATGATCTTTGATATTCTTTGATTCGAAGTCTGTTGTTCACAACGGTGACCCAACGGGTATGACGGGGATGGCACCAAGATAGGAACATCACAAGAACGACGAAGAGTGTCCAAAGAAATATGGCTAGGGAAGTACAGTAGTTTGAATCTGAAATATGATGAAATATGATGAAATATGATGAAATATGATGAAATATGATGAAATATGATGAATATATGCAGTTTATTCCAAAAACTGTGAGTTTTTGCCGATGATCTGATGTGTGTTTTGCAAATCGGGGCGTCGGTTGCCAGGGTCGATCAACTTGAGGCATTTACAGAGCTTTTTTACTTCGCTGAAATAATTTTTGGGCGTTTGCACCCACTACTGTATTCTTCACATCATAGTGGTACAACCGCGGTTGTTTGAGCTCTTTGGGAAATCACCATGGATATTCACGGCCTGGTTGGATGTCGCTGATTCCTGGCCGCGTTTGGCGAAGGTTATTTGGATGATCTTCGTCAAACCACTGAAGAAATCAAAGGATTTTTCAAGGAGGCTGATATGGACGGCTCAGGCCTGAATCAGTCGTGCTGTGCTAGCCCCCCAGGATTCTAGTGGAAAATTCTGTGGATCCAAAATTAATTCTAGCTACCAAGATCCAAGAGGTCTTTGGGTGTTCACCTCTGGCCCGTTTGGTTATCTTTTCAGCGCCGCACCGAAAAGCGACGGCTTCCACTGAGCCAGGAACATTGAATTGGGATGAATTTCAACACCACATGCAAAACCCAGCCGTGAAGGCGCGATGGGTGCTTTCGAAACGAAGCTGCAACTAGTGCCCAAGGTGTTCAACGCTACTCCAGTGGGGTTGGTACAGGTTACCGCATGTTACAGCAACTGATATGGAAAGACTAGTTGAGATTGCAATGCTTTGCTTAGCACTTCCTGGATGACTCCCTTCTAATCCCCAACCAGGAGTGGCTGGGGGTAGGGATCCTTTGGGCACGGAAAATGGCGCCAAAGAGTTGTACTGGTACCACATATATATATATACATATATATATATATATATGGTACTCCCCCCTGAAACCTACCTTTTTGACATATTCATAAGATGGTTGGGTCAAAAGGAGGTTACCTTACATACATGCTAAGGACATGTTATATATATATATATGTAATTATACATATATATATATATTCCAATAGTGCAATAAGTATGCTATTGAGACTGATTGAACTTAACTTCAATGATAGCATTCTGGGAAGAATGCATTCAGAATGCATTCTCTGCATTCTGGGAAGAATGCATTCAGAATGCATTCTCTGCTAAAACCAAGAACCAAAACCAAGAACCAAGAACCAAGATTCCCCCAGGACTCCTGAGCAAATCTTGGTTCGAACCAAAACCAAGAACCAAGAACCAAGATTCCCCCAGGACTCCTGAGCAAATCTTGGTTCTTGGTTCTTGGTTTTGGTTCGAACCAAGATTTGCTCAGGAGTCCTGGGGGAATCTTGGTTCTTGGTTCTTGGTTTTGGTTCTTGGTTCTTCGTTTAAAATCTAAGATTCCCAAAAGACTAGATAAAGAATGCATTCTGAACGCATTCCTGCAACCAAGAACCAAGATTCCCCAAAGACTCCTGAGCAAATCTTGGTTCTTGGTTCTTGGTTTTAAATCTAAGATTCCCCAAAGACTCCTGAGCAAATCTTGGTTCTTGGCTCTTGGTTTTAAATCTACGATTCCCCAAAGACTCCTGAGCAAATCTTGGTTCTTGGCTCTTGGTTTTAAATCTACGATTCCCCAAAGACTCCTGAGCAAATCTTAGATCTTAGATCTTAGATTAGGGAAAGAATGCATTCTGAATGCATTCCTTTGGAAATGCATCCATCTTGGGTTTCCCTTAAGCAGATGGGATTGATTCAACTACCACGAAAAAGTTTCAACTTTGGGTCTTTTCCCCAAGCCTGAAAAATAAATGAACACATTGTGTCAAAGCAATGTTGCATTTTCTTGAAGGAATGCCCCACCATGTTTAAGGAATGCATCACTCTTGTCAATGGAAAATTGCAAAAAAGTAATGCTACACTACAACTCTTTTGGAACTATTATTGTTTCCAGTGAATACTGCATAGACTAAGAGAGCTTTCTTATTGAAGTTATGCTGTGCCGTTTCAAGTCACTTTTCTTCAGAAGGGGCACTGTCAATCTCACAAAGGTAGCATTTGTGATGTTTTTGTTTAAGCAAAGACGGCTCACATTTGTTCATTTCAAGTATACATAATTACTGTCAAAACATAAGGGCATACTGACTCTAGAAAGCACAATGTAGCAGTACTTGTGCCACATGTGCAGCATGTTCTTTTAAATATCCAACTTGATTTCAACAAATATAGTGTCACTTAGAAAAAAACATGTATGTTCTTCAAAGTAATGGCTACATTTCTGAAGATATTCTTATTTGATTTGAAGAAATACTGCATTTGATTGGAAGATGCATTGTATGTTGCAGGGACTGTTTGGGCAACGTGTTTCTTCCTTCCAGAAGTATTGTACTTAGTACGTTATGAAGTACGCTATGAAGTACGTTATGAAAGTTATGAAATGGTTATGTGAATTAAGCATGCATATTTACATGTTGGAAAAAAACACTGATTGAGATATATTCACCCCGCTTCGCGTGGGGTGGCCGCCCACACCGCAGGTTTATTTCGGTCCGTGAGAGGGGCTAAGGGTGGTGTGGAATATGAGGAGCAGAGCAGCACAGGAGAATTGACATACATAACTGCTGGGTTCGTGAATTTTCACTTTTCCCCCGTGAAGCTTCCCAAGCTAAAGTGAAAATTCTCCCCCCCCGTGGGGGCTCCCCAAGCTAGGGAATTTTCACTTTTCCCCCCCGTGGGGGCTTCCCAAGCTAGGGAATTTTCACTTTTCCCCGCCGTGACAGCTTCCCAAGCTATGGAATTTTCACTTTTCCCTCCCTTGGAGGCTCTCCAAGCTGCGGAATTTCAAATAGCTAGACAACGACGCCTAGATAGTCCCCCAAATCCCGTGTTCTTTGAATGTGTTTCCATGTTTTTGCAATGGTTTCCTTCAAAGCACGGTACTTTACACTTTTGTCGCCATAAAACCGGTCGAAAACATCATGTTCGACAATGCTTCCAATTCCCTTATCTCCCCAACCGTTGAAAATACCGCTATTTACAGTGTTTTCTTCAATTTTTCCATGTTCCAATGCCGGTAGCCAACTCCAACATATATATAAGAAATCCTTCCAAAACATTGTTTTTGACAGTGTTTTTCCAATGTTTCCAGTCAAACAGACGGTAATTTACACGTTTTTTGCCATAAAGGCAGTAAATCCTTCCAAAACATTGCTTTTGACAGTGTTTTTGTAATGTTTCCAGTCAAGCATACGGTAATTTACACGTTTTTTGCTATAACGTCAGTCCAAAACACTTGTTTTTGCAGTGTTTTCAATGCTCTGGCATCCAAAAACCCTGCAAAATCTTGCTATGTACAATGTTTTTTTCATTTTTGGCCGTTTTTCCATTGCCGGAAAGCTACCAAAATGACCCAAAATTCCATTTCAATACCCTCTTGCGCTCAGACACCCAAAAATCCTCGAAAAATGTCGAAAACACCACCGAATTCTGGTCTCGGCGAAACCGTTTTTGGCCCCCCCCCTGCTAAAGCTGATATAGCGACTGCTATATTAACAAATGTGATTGAGCATTTAGTGTAGCTGTTTCCCCCCAATAAGCACGCCTTCACCGCCAAAGCGGTGTGGGCGGATTTTCAAGAGAAGTGGCTTTCTGCAAAAAAATGCTACCTATTGAAAAGGAGTACTTTTTTTGCTTAAGGAATGCTACACCCTTTGAATGAAAGTGTCTGTTTGTAAAGCCTGCTTTTGTCACTTAGAATTGGTTCTTCAAGAGAAGGATGCATGTTTGATCGTCTCTTGTAGTCATTTACAGTGTTTTCACTGCCTTTTTCAAGTTTGGGAATAGACCCAAAGTTGAATGATCTTTTTCATGTGGGTTGAATCACTACTTAAGGGAAACTTTGCAGAGAGGTTGAGGTACTTTGAGGTACGTAAATTATACTTAAGACATAGTTTGGAAGGGGTACGAACTAAGAGGTCCTAGGACCTCCTAAGACGCACACATCATCCAAAGTATTGAGCCACTGCAGCAGTACAACAAGAGTGAAGCTACATAGTAAGGAAAAAAAGGCCTAAGAAATATCTACCATCTTGATCATCAAATAATATGCCTGCTAGATCTGAAAGCATACAAAATCCAAAATTTCATGTGTCACAAAAAGGAAAAAAAAATGTAAAAACCAATGGAAAACTTAAAAATTACATTTGGCCACAGTGCCGTGCGCATTCTGTCAATGTTTGAACTTAAACCCTTTGTTGGGAACACAATACGGTAGTCGAAAACGCTGCAGATACCATCAAAATATGTCATTGTATCTACACATGAAGCATCATGACTCATCATGACCAAGCATCCAAAGTCTTCAAATAAATGAAAAAAATGCTGGCTGCTTTTGAAGGCAAAAACCAACAAGAATCACTGTAAGACACAATAAAAAACTGAAACCGGTAGGTTTCGGGGGGGTTAGCATATATACATATATATATATATGTATATATATGTATGTATACACTCATACCTCCAATTCAAATAGTTTAATGGCCCCATGCACCCCTACTTGAAGATATTGTAAGATATTGCAGTTTTGGTATGTGTCGACGGCGCCTCGGAGGCATATTTCTCTGGCCTCGACATTGATCCAGAAGAGGCCTGGAAGATTCTGCATCATGGCGTAGGTGTCGTGGAATAGTGAAAAATAGTGGTTTGAACCACTAAAAATAGTGGTTAATGGTGGTTAATAGTGGTTGTAATAGCCGCCATGCCCTGACTCCACTTGTTGGACACAAACGCATCCTGATCATCCTGAGGCGGAAATCATCTTCACCATTTTAGATGGAAACAAGAGCCAGGAGAAATCGCTTCACCGGGATCCCGAGAAATGCCAGGTGATTTGGAGCAACCGAAGTGTCCGAGCGAAACCGAAGAAATCCCACCATGGAAAAACATGGGTTTTCCAAAAACCCTCCATTCATAGAGGGGATTTCCAAAAATGCCATCACCTCAGATCGATGGATTCACAGGAGATCAAGATTGATGACTTCGTCAACGGAACGATGAAGTTGAAGGCGCGTTTCGTTGTTGTTTGAGGTCCATGATCTTCCATTACCCTCTGGTAAACATACAAAAAACTATGGAAAATCACCATTTTTAATGGGTAAATCCACTATAAATGGCCATTTTCAATAGCTAATGAGTAAATCCACTATTTCGACTGGGCCATTTTCAATAGCTATCTATGTATGTTTACCAGAGGCTGTTTACACCATCCTTCTTAGAGGGTACCTCTATAGAACCCCCCAAATATGTCCTAAAGATGGGGTATACCATCACGGTGTACCTCAGGCCATTTTGAGAGGAAACATGATGATTGATCTGACTGTTTGCTGCCTCCCCAAATCCAAGCATTTCTTGTGTTTGGGATTCCTCGATGAAAAAGCTAGATGAAGAGGCATCTGTACTTATTTATACGTATTGTGTATATATATATGTATATGTATATCTGTGTATGTATATATATATATGTATATATATATACATATATATATATATGTATATAATATTATATATATGTATATATATGTATATGTATATCTGTGTATGTATATATATATATGATGGGTTCTACGCTTACACGTGTAGGCGTTTCTCAAAATCGGACCCCAAAGCCATTCCCCAGAAAAAAATACCAATTCACTGGGGGTCCCAATGATTTTCACCGATGTCAAGAAACAATCGATGTTTTCAATATATCAAAATAACATAGATTGTTTCTTGATAGGCCTATTGAAAATCTATTTTTGATGTTATTGTATGTTAAATATAGGCCTATCATATGTTCAATACTTCGGAATTGATTATCTATTTTTGTATGGTATTGTTCATGTTTCATCATTTGTCCATATTTTCAATAGGCCCCCACTTCACCAAATCATCCGCCAAGCCTGGCCAGGGCTCAGCTTCCAAGCTGGACTTGATGGCGTTGATGTACGACCAAACAAGGCGGGAAGCCGACGAGGGAGATCGTCAAGGACCTAAGGAAGTGGCTTATGGAGGGGGTGGATCCCAATGTTCGTAAGTGGCTAGTTTATTCTTATAGGCCTATTCAATAAAAAATCTACCCAGTGATCATATCATATTTGGATCCTCTTTTTATATGTGGTAAAAAAATATGGCTTGTGGCAGTGGTTGGAAAAAAAATCCACTGCGATGCACATCGTCACCACGTCCAAGCGATCGGATCACCACGTGATCGGGAGGGGTGTCAGTATGGTACCGTAGAGTGTTAATTAGTGTGTATTAGTCAGGATATATTAGTATATATATATATTAGTATATATGAGTATGTATCCTGGCAGTCTATCAGTCTGTGAGTAGAATCAAAAGCTAGAAATGGATGTCGATGTTGGAAACTATTGGCTGCATCCCACCCTTGTGTTGTCGTGAGATTCAAGCGAAGTGTCGGCGGCACTTGCAGGGATACCACATCATAATTGGCGGATCTCACTGCACCTTCGTTTTTGGAGGGAAACCGCCCCAAGTCTATGATGAAAGCCCCTGCGTTTCGAATGCTTCTGGTGAGATTTGGGGTTAACAGCGATGATAAAACCCCAACAGCTCTATCTAAGATTATCTAGGTACCATGATTATAGATATACATAGATATACTATGATATACTATGACATACTATGATATACTATGATATACTATCTATCTTATAATAGTGTACTAATAGTCTATATTATTCTATATTATCGTGTTGATCGTTTTTCGCAGGCAGAGCATGAAGTTCGATGCGCTTTGTGAGTTCGTGGAGGAGGAGTTGTCAGAGATTAAGAAACGTGTGATGCAGGCCGGGGCTTGCCGCCGTTGTGTTGTTTGTACAATACTGAGATGATATGGGGATTCAACTTGTTTGAAGGTAAATTATCTACTGCCAACGCTTGGTGTTAATGGCTAATCATGTCCTTTTCCATCTGGTGTCGCTTGCAATCATCGTTGTCATTGTCATTGTCAAGGTTATCATCAGCGTCCAGCGTCCCCATTCTTCTCAATCTTCTCATCATCTCAAACTGCTGACTGTGCCCATTTAATCATTCCTTCTGATTAAGAAGTTCGATTCGACTTCTCTAGCGATTTTTGTTCACCATCCTGCAGATGGTTGGATGATCCCAACAGAATGTCCATTGTTGGGCAAAACCGAACCATACCAACTCATATTTTTTCCCCTTCCTAATTTTGGTGAGATGTCCAATGTTTGTGTGTGAACCATGTAATTAAAACCTGTGTTTTGGGGCAGGTCAATATATAATAATATATATATATAAATACAAATATCATCTTCACCATCCCGGTTTCACACTTTTTGGGCCTCTTTTTGCCGGATTTTCCCTGGGTTTTCCCCGGTGTTTCGCGCAGATTTCATGCCCATCGCACCTCGTGCAGGCGCCCAAGCAGGTCACCCCCGAGCGGCACGATGAGCGCAGCCGCAGCGACCCCACGGGAAGTAGCTCCATTTGCATCTCTCCGAGCACGTCGCTGTCGCCCTCCGTGCGCAGTGGACGGATGGCGCGCCTGGCGCAGGGAGTTTTTTGGGTGAAAAGTTGGGGAAAACGATGGGAAACCCAGAAAGGACTAACAGCTAATATCAATCAATGGACATAGAATTGGATAAGATTCAAATCGATATGAATCGATGAAATGTGGTTTTAAGATGTTTCAAACGCAATTACCAAGCAAGAGTGGGTTTAGGAAGTAAATATCCATGGTGTTTTGATGTGTTTTGAATAAAAAAGGAGACATTGGTTGCTGGTTTCACGTATCCAAAAAAACAGGTGCACACCATATAATCTATATACAGTATGTATATATATATATATATATAGAAACTAACCAAATATGGATACTATATAGATATAATATCTATATACACATATTCAATATGTTATTCAGTATGCACGAGCAACCGCCAAAGGTCCGGCACTAGAAAACATGCAAGAGACGGATAGGGCGGTTTCCAAAACTGTACAAACATGAGGTACATAAGCTTTGAGACCTTCCCAAATAGCGATATCCCCTTTAAAGGTTATGTGATACCTGTGCACATACATCAATTTCCTCACAGACGATACCCCCCAATTTTATCCAAATTTACCATACTCGCAGGTTTGTTTGGTGCAAAAGTAAATTGTGGAGAGCGAGGGGAGCCTCCCACATTTATTGATGTCCTTTTCTTGAACCCTGGAATTTCCGAGATTGCTCATGTGAACAAACACAGAATGGCTACATCAAGAACGGATGCGGATAAAGTGGGGGATTTAAACGCTATTTCAACAGGTCGGATCCACGTGTTGACTGTGCTAAAACGATGGGAAATCCCTGATGGATCCAGACGGGCGACCTGGCGACTGACCATAGTGTTGATCCAGAAATCTGTTTGGGTCATCGGCACTGAGAAGTATCTCAATCATAAGTGTACGGCAACACTTACAGATACTGTATTATTCTATACAACACGTGTTTATGACTATAGACTATCTATGTATCTGTGATATTCTTTGATACTGTACATGCTTGATATGCACGTGATAGATACTATGCACATGCTGTAAATGTCCAAAGTTTCATTCCATGTTTTCAGCTGGCCGAACGGCTGTTTCATCCTCCCTTGCCTCTAGGTGCGCATCGAAACGGTTAATCTGCCAAGAGCGTTGGTGCGATGCCCAGGGGGAAGCCACCCAGGCTTTGCAGCTCGCTGCATCCAGAAATGGATGGAAACTGCTGATTCTTCAATCCTAGAATTGGTTGCTGGGGAAGTTTAGAGGAAACAGGAAACACATCAGCATTGTATGATAGAAACATGGCGTGGTGCAAATGATTTGACCTCACGAGTTTTGTTGCAACGAACTCAACATGTGAGTTTCGATGATGCCGGGAAATCAAGTGGGTAATTTTGCATTGCCGGGCTCCACATTGCTGGAGGTTATATACGTAGTAAATTATAGTAAATTATGCAGGCACGAGAGAGACTCAGCGGCCCTTAAAACAAATAGTAAATTATAGGAAAAATGTATGGCTATAGTAATATAGATAATATGGTATGGCTTGGTTCAGGCACAGGATACTTGAAAGCACACTGCTTTTAAAACCTACTACTGATGGCCTTTTGGACCCATATGATCCCATAAACCGGGTTGTCCAAAAAGAGGCTATCCTAAATCCAATGGTATATTTCATCATAAAGATAGAATGGTGTTTTTGATATACAATAACATATTTGTGATAATACACCATGATCATGTCCATGTTATACCATCAAATGTATCAATTTGATTATAATCATGGAATCATTACCATTATACAGTTATACACCATTAATTTATCACCACTATTTGATAATCAAATTGTAGATACCATCATTTAACATAGCCATGGAAAATCACCATTTCTAATAGGTAAACCTCTATAAATGGGCCATTTCCCATGGCTATGTTAAATAGCCAGAGGGTAGATTAATCTACATGGCGACAGATTTTTCCGTCCATCCTGGCGAAACACCGAGGCGATCCCTCGTCGACGCTGAAGGTTGATGTAGGACGGTGGTGTTTTTTTTTTCGCGGAAGGGAACGAGTCGGTTGACAAGTGAAAACCTACAGGAAACCATTTTTTTTAGTAATATAGGATGATATAGGATGATAAAAGGGGGTTCCTGTAAATTGTCCAATGAATTCTTGGAATAATGAATTGAGTATGGGGATAAACTGGGGGAACAGCAACATTCATCAAAGTTCTTGATGTAATGATAGGGAAAGCCGATGCTTTTGGCGTTTTTTTAGATGTATGATGTAAATACACCATGTTTATCCAATATTCAGAAGCACCCCTTTTGCTGTAAATGATGGACCATCATACTTTGCCAGTTTAACTTTTGCCGAGTGTCGAAGATTTGCCATGCTTAGCAGCAGGGGATCAAAAAAAACACCCGCTGTCCGATCCACCAGTCATTGGATGACGTGATAGCTGCAGAAAACAAGTATATTTACCTTATATATATATATTTATACACGTGTATATGGCAATATAGAAATGTATTTAATACATTCTGACTACATATAATTACGATATATACATATAATGTATGTGTGAATATACTGATTCCTTGCCAAATTTAGCCCGCTGATTGCCCCATCATGACCTGATAGCATCAAGGAATCTTGGAGCTCCGTTTGGATTGATCAGTGACAATACATTCACAACATGAAGGATATTCGGCATGGGGCATGGTCATGATTGGATCATGCATTGCGCATATCTACAATTAACTCAATTAACAAGACGAAATCTGTTAGTCTGACTGGCACCTTTGAACCCAAGCTACGGCCAAAACCTTCAAAAGCAAGAAGGAGAACTCCCTTGAAGCAGTTGCTTCCAGGGAATTCCACCCCTCCGCAGGCGATGTCAACTTTTCGCCACCCGTATTTTTCGTCGACCGGTCCTTTTTGACGTTTTGATCCGTTGACGACTTGTGACGGGCGAACGAGAGTAGTGTCCACGGGGCTTGGTTGGTTTGGATGCAGTTTAACGAGGGGTGAAGGGATGGAACTACCCTATCTCCATTCAGAAAGCAGGTGATAGTCGTAGTACAGCATAGTCGAAAGTCAAAAATGTAGAGAAGGATATTAGCCAAAATTGGATTGTTTCATACGAACAATGGCAAACACTCTCACTTGCTGGGTTGTCAATCTTCACTCTTATTCTTTGGCCCTTAACATCAGGGATTGTATACCCAGCATCTAATAGAATGGATGTACACCAAGATGTACATACATATGTGTGTACATTATAGAGACAGTCATATACATATATCATATATTATCAGTAGCATATGTATATTATATATAATTATGCATATATATATATTATTATGCATATATATATATATATATTTATGTATGAATAATTATGAATATATACATATATTCATGGCAACTTTGTTTCTGCATATGTTGGGAAAACGACTCAGCAACTATCGCCACGGCCTCGTGGGCGTATTTCTGCGCGGCGAGCTCCGCGACTGGCCCTAGGCCGCTCCGGCGCTGATTCGGTCGCCAGCACTGCAGGGCCTTGTTGGGACGTTTTTGTGATCGGAAACATCGAGAAAAAAATAGCGAAAACATCTAGGGATGATATGGATGATCAATGATGATAATTCTCTTTCGTATGTTGATGATCAATGATGATCAATGGTCATAATTCTCTTTCGTATGTTGATGATCAATGATGATCAATGATCATAATTCTCTAAAATTCTACAGTGTGTTGTGAATCGTATATTGCCGTAATAGAGGTGGGTCTGTGCTGCGTATCGACACACATAATTACTCATGGACATATACTAGTCTTTACATGCACTGTATCCGTATATTTGTATGAATAGATACTTGGAGGACTCACAAAAAGACGACTTGTACAGATTGAATACGTCGTTTGTATGCTTGCTTTGAGTGCGGGCTCTAAAGTCCGTGCTCGCTATAAATTCTATGAATTTCCACTACAGAAGACCTATGGCCGTGAATTACCATTGATATCATTGGATGGCATACACCTCTTATTCCAGCTGCCATGAGTCTTTAACAGCAAGGCAGGCATCTCTTTGAGTCCAAACATGGATGAGAACTCATCAACATTCAGAAGGGTTCTAAAGTCAAAATGCCCACATAATCAGTTTAATGGAAAATTCACAGGAACATCATCCATATTTTGCTGGTGAATGGTGGTGAATCCATCGTTTCCAGTGAGGTTTTTCCCTCAAACCACCCGATTCTCTGGGGCTCCGCTGTGTGAACCATCCAATCTGACAGCACGGCACGCGTGCCGTCAGCCGTGGGCGACGTCCCAGATGGGACGGGACTCGTCTCACCTGTACAATCCTGTCATCACATGTCTTGGGGAGGCTCTGAAAGGACGGCTTTCCATCGCTATTTCCATGGAAAATATGGAAGACTTTGGGCGGTTCTGATGTCATTTTTCCAGCACCTTGACAGCGTATCAATCCATGGAGTCAAGAATTTGGGAGAATGATATTACGCTATGCACTTGTTGAAACCACCTGGCATCTCAATGCTGTTGCCATCTCAATACAATGGTGTATGCGGAAAAGAACCATCACCCACCCGAGATCTGGTATTTGAGACCCAACCAGGACCCTGAATTGGCGCTCCATTCATCACGTTTTAGTGTTTGTCAACCAGGATGTCTGGGCATATCCCCGGCCATTTGCAAAGCCGAGCAGTTTGCTCTAGGACCGAGTTTCTAGGGCTTGGATGGGACTGCCACAGGTTCAATGTGGATTCTTCAGTTTTCTTCTACGTTTGTGGGCTGGTGCTATCACCAGTAGGTTTATGCAGTCTCCAGTACGGTGTTGGAGATTGCGAAAAGATCAAAACATTCTCAATTCAGAAAGAGTAATAGGTTTGGGAATCCTGGGATGTATAACTGTATAATAGTGTTTGTTCTAATAGTGTTATACAGTTATACAGTAATGGGATGTAGAACACATTATAACACTAAACCCTAAGAGCTACAAAAAAGCTGAAAACAACAACTCTTCACCAAAAAATTGCACACTCGTCCAGTGATGTCCATCGCTCTGGGCATAAAGCCAC